CCGACCAGAGATCGAACCCGCACCCCCCTGCATTGGAAGGCAAAGTCCTAACCACTGGACCACCAGGGAAGTCCCTCTCTCTTTCATTTCTGAGGATAACTTTGCCAGATAGAATATTCTTGGTTGACAGGTTTTGGGGTTTTTTTTTTTTTTTCTTTCAGCACTTTGAATATGTCATCCTACTCTCTCCTGGCCTGTAAGGTTTCTGCTGAGAAATCCTGTGGTAGTCTTATGGGGTTCCTTTGTAAGTGGCAAACTTCTTTTCTATTGCTTCTTTCAAGATTTTCTCTTTGTCTTTGATTTTGACAGTTTTATTACAATGTGTCTTGGAGAAGATCTCTTTGAGTTGAATTTGTTTGCAGACCTATGAGCTTCATAAACTTGGATGTCCAAATCTCTCTTCAGATTTGTGAAGTTCTCAGACATTATTTGGGGGGGGGGGCTGTTAAGGATTCTACATATTAATTTGTGGGGACATGGTGGAGGTTGCACATACAAACATTTAGTATATAATAAGAAGAAAGTTAATGGACCAGGAAGGAGACTTGAAGATGGAAGTATGAGATTTTCTAATCACTTGGAGAAGTTGAGACAACAGCAGTTAATTGGAGAGGTCAAACTTACACCACTGTATTTTTATGGCAGGCTGGTGGTATAGGTCAGACATTATTTTTCAAAAAGTTTTCTGCCCCTTTCTCCCCTTCCTTAGACTCTCATATTGTATAGATTGTTTCTCTTAATGGTGTCCCATAAGTCCCATAGGCTTTCTTCATTCCCCTTCAGTTCTTTCTTTTTTTCTCCACCAGCTGAATATTTTCAAATGATCTGTGTTTGAGTTTACCGATTCTTTCTTCTGCTTGGTTTAGTCTTGTATTGAATCTCTCTACTGAATTATTCATTTCAGTCATTGTATTCTTCAGCTCCAAAATTTCTGTTTGGTTCTCTTTTTTTGTTTTCTCTTTGTGGAACTTATCATTTCATTCTTGTATCATTTCCCTTATTTCATTAAATTGTTTACCTGTGTTCTCTTGTAGCTCTCTGAGCATCTTTAGAACAATTATTTTGAATTCTTTATCAAGCAATTTGTGAATCTCCACTTCCCATTACTGGAAGTTTACTGTGTTCCTTTGGTAGTGTCATGTTTCTCCGATGTTTTGTGATCCCTGTAGTTTTTGTAGGTGTCTGTGCATTTGAGGAAGCAGTTACCTCTTTCAGACTTTATGGACTGACTTTGGTATGGAAAGACTTTCATCTGCGGGCAGGCACATGCTGGAACATGCTGTGACCCTGGGTCTAGTGGTGCGGGGTGCAAAGTGTGAGGGCATGTAACATCTCTGAATGATGGGGAGGGGCGTGATGTCTTGTTGGCTCAGCAGCTGGGGTTCATGACGTCAACAACCGCATAATCTTTGGTGAGAGCTGTAGGCAGTCCACAGTGGCTTCAAGGACTGTTGGAGTCTTTAACAGTACCTCCAGTCCAGTGGCTAGGGATCAGGCCAGGCAGTGGTGGTGTCCAGAGCCAGTGGTATGCACAGGCTTGGCTGCAGGGCTAGTTGTGGGGACTGGCTGCAGAGGCACAGTGGCAGGGGCTGGGGCCAACTGGGGGTGCACAAGCAGTTGCAGTGGCCCTGGCTGTCAGTGTGTCCTTGAGTGACAATGGGGCTAGCCGAAGGCACATGCTGGGCAGTGGTGGCCAGTGACGGGAGTTGAGGCTGGTGTCTTGCAGGTACACAACTGTAAGGTTAACTGCAGGTAAGCAGAGCCATGCAAGCCAGTGACAGGTGTCCACATTGAATCCAGGCCCTCCAGCAGCTATGGGGGCCTTGGCTGTTGGTGTACACTTGTGGGGCCATAGGGGCTTGCTGTGGGCATGTGCATGGCTGTAGCGGCTGGTAGTGGGAGTCAGGCCAGCAGTGTGCAGGTGCACAGCTGCAGTAGTCTCCTGCCATTCTCAGCAGTTATCAGTATCTTTCACTGGCTCTTCTTTCTTAGCCCTACTTTGAAGTGTTCATCAACAAGGGTTTATTTTCAGCCTTTTTTTTCCTTCTCTTAGCTATTATTGGGTGAGCCCCACTAGCATCCTCCTACAAATGTATCTTTCTATCAATACCCAGGGGTTCAAGACTCACACGAAATCCAGGTAAATGACATTTCTTATCCTCTATGAGTCTGAGAAATCAGAATGATGTATGATTTCTCTCATACTGAGAAACTCCTTCCTCGAGGATAATTGGCTACTCTTTCACATGTGGCTGACAGTCTTACTAATGAAGATGCTATTGGAATTTCCCTGGTGGTCCAGTGGCTAAGACTCCACGCTCCCAATGCAGGGGGCCTGGGTTCGATCCCTGGTCAGGGAACTAGATCTCTCATGCCACAACTAAGAGTTCGAATGCCACAACTAAAGATCCTGCATGCCGCAACTAAGACCCAATGCAGCCGAATAAATATTTTTTAAAATGCTATCAAGCAGGTGTCTTAAATGTGATACCTTCAAACTCAAACTCATATCATTCCTCAAACCTGTTTTTCTCTCCTTTCCTTATTTCACTTAATGGCATCATCATCCATTCAGCCTTCTAAATATTAAAAAATGCTCAGTGAGCCTTAACTACTCCTCTTTCACTCCTTAGATCTAATTATGCCCCCAGTCCTGATCATTCTATCTGTTGTAAATAGTTTGGGTTCCCTCAGAACAGACCCTGGTCCAAGGAGTTGAGTGCAAGTTTATTTGGGTGGAAACAATGGTAAGGGAGTAGGGAAGTAGACTACAGTCAGGGGCATTCATCTCAGGTGCAATATTTAAGGTACAAAATTTACCTTCATTCTATCTTTCCCCACTCTTTCACACTTCCAGTCTTTGCCGGCAGAGTCAACTTTTTAAAAACACCGATTTCATCGCATCTTGTCCTATGCTTAAAAAGCACAAAATAAAATCCAAACTCCTTGATTTATTGTGAAAAGTTACCTTTTTAGCCTCATCTTCTGCCACTTTCTATTATATAACTATGCTCTGCTATGAATGCTTCAAGCACTTTTTGAACTTTTATACTCCAGCGTATAATGTTCCTTCTGCCTCAAATACTCTTTCCCCCCTCCTTTACACACACACAAAGTCTTATTAGTCACTTAAAATCTAGCTTGGAAATCTATTTTTCTGTGAAATCTTCCCTGACCTCCCTGAGAAAATTAATTGCCATTCCTCTGTGTTCCTTAATATTTTGTATGTACCTCTGCTTTTTTTTTTTTATTCATTTATTTAATTTTTGGCTGCATTGGGTCTTTGCTGCTGCACGCGGGCTCTCCCCAGTTGCAGCGAGCGAGGGCCACTCCCCGTTGCAGGGAACAGGCTTCTCATTGTGGTGGCCTCTCTTGCTGCGGAGCACAGGCTCTAGGCACGTGGGCTTCAGTAGTTGTGGCACACGGGCTTCAGTAGTTGTGGCTCACGGGCTCTAGAGCGCAGGCTCAGTAGTTGTGGCGCACGGGCCCAGCCGCTCCGCGGCATGTGGGATCCTCCCGGACCAGGGCCCGAACCCGTGTCCCCTGCATCGGCAGGCGGACTCTCAACCACTGCGCCACCAGGGAAGCCCCTGTACCTCTGCTTTTGAACGTACAGATGGAATTGCATCTGTTTATCCCTTTTTCCTCTCACTAAACTAGGAACTCTACAAAAGCAGATCCTATCCATCTTTTTAACCCCAAAGTCTGCCTGCATATAGAAGGCACCCAGTAAAGGTTTACTGAGTTGAATTTATCTGGGTGCATCCAAACAAAACAAATTTTAAAAGAAATGGGGGGACTTCCCTGGTGGTCCAGTGGGTAAGACTCTGCGCTCCCAGTGCAGGGGGCCTGGGTTCGATCCCTGGTGGGGGAACTAGATCCCGCATGCCTGCTGCAACTAAGAGTCTGCGGGCTGCAATGAAGATCCCACATGCCACAGCAAAGATCCCATGTGCTGCAACTAAGACCCGGAACAGCCTAAATAAATAAATAAAAATAAGTAAATCTTAAAAGAAATGGGAGGAAGCTTAGCAATTTCCAGAGATGGACACCAGAAGCAAAAACAGCAGTCTGTGAAAATGTACAATTGGGACCTATCAAAGAAATCTATTGTGTATTATTTATTATTTATGAATTGCTTCAAAAAGGCTTTGAGGCAGGCATTTTTGTGTTGGAAGCTGTTGTCTCCAAAGGCCGTACTTTTGGTTCATTCAAGCAGAACATATGTTGATAAAAAGAAAAGTGAATACTCTAGCACATTATAAATAATACCATTTCAAATTAAGAAGTCCCTAGATTGTAACTGCCCTAGCAGCAGAGGCCATGTATATAAAATGCATTACTTTTTACATAGAACCTAGCTTAAATATACACAAAGTCTTAAATATACACAAAGTCTTACATGATTTTTGACACAACAGTGATTTTGATCATCTATGACTGAATCTATAGTCATTTGCAATTGAAGTAGGGGATGTGGTAATTATCCATTTTTATTCCTTAGCATAAATAAATAAACCAGATAAATCTCATTCCTCTCAGAACTCCCCCCTCCAAAAATACTTTTTAGCAAGGTGATTATTCTAATGTCTGTCTTTCTCACATGAATTAAATAGCAATCAAAGTTTCATTTCACCTCACTTTGTAATTTCAAAAACTAATGAGGATGATGATAATGTTTTAAAAATTCAGTTGCATTACTGTTGCTGTTTTTTTAAACACTAATGGTGATGATTACTGTGGTGACTTTTCCTGTCTCCCTGAACCCTGGCCTAGCACTAATCGAGCTTTGATCAGTAACCACAGTAATAACAGTAGTACAGTCAGAAGTTTAGCAGCTGAGAACTTATTATCATTCAGTAGAATGGTGGGATGAGGTTGGGTGGGGGGAGATTTTGATCTTCCAGAGTATTTCTGTTTGTTAATATTTTCTTTCTCTCTTTTTGTTATAAATAGTGGTCTGGTAATACTTTTCCTTACCATTTGGTGATATCTTTTAGTGCTCCAGATGAGTGAGTCGACATCTCAAGAGGAACCCAAACCTGCTCAGGTACCTGGTCTACATAGGTTTCTAACCATTTAGCCATGAGAGGATTTGAGAGTCAACATTTTTGGGAAAATGGAGATGCAATATCATATTCTGTCATTGAATTATTTCTCTTTTTAGTTGAACTTTTCTGCATGAAGTTTTGACAAAAATGGGGTCAGCTAATAGTTGAGTCACAGTGGCCTGCTTCCAGTTGCTTTGTATTCTTTATACCTAACAAGTCTAATACTGTTTGAGTTTGCTAATACAACTACTTTATGTGATTTTATTTGGTATGATGTTTACTCATTATGTGAATTTTTTTACATAAAAAGCTTGCTACACTAGAGTATAAAATGTTAGTTTTATTTCCGGCTCCTGTTGGATACCATTTACTAACACTATTTCCACTTCAGGAAAATGGAAAAGAAGACAAAGAAAGGAACCAGGAAGCAACCAAAGTAAAAGAGCCTATGAAGGTAGAGTTTTCATGAGTAATCAGATGTTAATGCTTGAGAGTAAACTGGAGAAATTAATTTTCTCACAAAGAAAAAAAAGGAAAAGATGTGGGTATTCAAAAAGATAAAATGGCAAATGGGAAAAAGCAAACCCATGTTGATCATTAAGCTGACTCATTTGAGTCAGTTGCAGAAAACTTCCATTGACAGGTAAATTATTTGTGAAGATCTATTATGAATTGTAAGTAAAGTTTACTTTCTAAAATCAGAACTGTTACCCTGAGTACAGTAACCACCAGTTTTTAGGGGAACTTCGCTATCATTCTGAAAATGTAATCTCCATGTTAATCGTTTAAGTAACTTTGTGTTTAAATAAATAGAAGACTTCAATGAGGAAAAATATTTTATAGAAAAGGGGAGGCAAGTGAAAATAGTTATATGATTCACCATTAAGTTGACTAATGTGAGTCTTAAAGTATTCTATTATCATCCTTTTAAAAGTACATCAGCATGAGTACAAAAAGCTATTTTGTCACCATTTATTCATAAAACTAACCTTTACTTTCTTTAATTAAGGTGAAAACGTTTTTCTTTCCACCACAAACGTGGAAGGTGATTCTAATAGTAAAAGAAACCAGCAGCAATTTCAAATGTCCTATTTCACTGTGTTGTGGTCTCAAATTATGTTTCTAGGAAGTATTATATAATTCAAGGATTCATGTACATCTGGAATAATATTCTTAGCATATTTACTACGTTAGCAATAGAAAGATGTGATGACATTCTGAGCCAATGAACTTTATCTTGTAAATGCAGTAAATAGACTGTGATTACTGCTTTGCTTCTAATATATAGCATTAAATCCTAGCAAAATTAGGGAGGAATGTTTGGTGATTTTTACAAGGGATTTGTGTGCATTCTTTAATTGGGAGAGTTGATGCAACTTTGATGAAAAGCATTTCACTTTTTAATTGGTGTTTCTTTTCTCCTTTCAGAGTTCACGGAGTATACCAGACAGTTTGGCATTAGGCATCTGCAGCAATGTGGCAGGAACAGCAGCAAATAAAGTCAAATCCCAAGGTAGAGAACTAGGCTTTCTCCTACACAACAGAATGCAAAACTATTACTAAATTTTAGTTGGGGATGGATTCCTCAAGATTTTGCCTTTTACAGATATAATCCCAGGGATATTTTAAATGCGGTTTGGGAAATAGTTTAAAATATATTCCCGTCATCTTCTATTGATACTTAGAGGCAAGTTTATAACCATTCATCTTGTGCTTAAAGAGAAAATTTAGCTAAGAGAGCTGACTGACACATAGCAGACAACCCATTAATACAAAAATAAAATGAAGAACCCTAGTGATTCAACCTGCCTGCTGTTTTTCTATTTCTTCTTTTTACCTCTGTACTTGACAACACATTTATTCTATTTGACTTCCAGCCCAATCCTTAACCCAAATCCCACATAATTATGCAGGTTGAAAATTTATATGATCAAAAGGCAACAAATAACTGGGCAAGACATTCATCCCTTTCACTACAGTTCTTCTAATTTTAGATACTTAGTGAAATCCTGTATGACAGAAAATTTTCACAATATTTAAAATTTAACAATTTCAACTTATATTTTAGTTAATTGAAATTCTTTTCAATTTGGTTTACAACTATTGAGTGTTTAGTATGTGCTAGGCTGAACTATAATAATAATTTTTTAAAATAAATTTATTTATTTTATTTATTTATTTTTGGCTGCATTGGGTCTTCATCGCTACGTGCGGGCTTTCTCTAGCTGCGGTGAGTGGGGGTTACTCTTCGTTGCGGCAGGCGGGCTTTTCATTGCAGTGGCTTCTCTTGTTGCTGAGCACGGGCTCTAGGCGCGCGGGCTTCAGTAGTTGTGGCACATGGGCTCAGTAGTTGTGGCTTGCAGGCTCTAGAGCGTAGGCTCAGTAGTTGTGGCGCACGGGCTTAGTTGCTCCGCTGCATGTGGGATCTTCCCGGACCAGGGCTCAAACCCATGTCCCCTGCATTGGCAGGCGGATTCTTAGCCACTGCGCCACCAGGGAAGTCCCAATAATAATTTTTAAAGCATTTTCTAAACTATAAATTGCTATATAGATGGTAGTTATAACTTGTAGTTGCTTACTTTTCTCCAAAGTGTTTTTCTGTCTTTTAAACCAATTATAAGTATTATTTACTATTCCTTCTTATTAGTAAATATATAATACATACACATTAAGAACCAAACTTTTCAGCATTTATTTTGCCTTTATTATAAACTTAGTACTGTTTTCACAGCTTCACTAACTTTTAAAAAGTTTCTTGGCAAGTCCCTCCCTACCTGCCCCCTACCACCAGTTTCTTTCTTTCTTTTTTTTTTTTTTTGCATTTGCCAACATTTTTTTTTTTTTACATCTTTCTTGGAGTATAATTGCTTTACAATGTTGTGTTAGTTTCTGCTGTATAACAAAGTGAATCAGCTATACATATGCATATATCCCCATATCCCCTCCCTCTTGAGCCTCCCTCCCACCCTCCCTATCTCACCCCTCTAGGTGGTCACAAAACACAGAGCTGATCTCCCTGTCCTATGCAGCTGCTTCCCACTAGCTATCTGTTTTACATTTGGTAGTGTATATATGTCAATGCTACTCTCTCACTTCGTCCCAGCTTCCCCTCCCCGCCCCGTGTCCTCAAGTCCATTCTCTACGTCTGCGTGTTTATTCCTGTCCTGCCACTAGGTTCATCAGAACCATTTTTTTTAGAGTCTATATATATGTGTTAGCATATGGTATTTGTTTTTCTCTTTCTGACTTACTTCACTCTGTATGACAGACTCTAGGTCCATCCACCTCACTACAAATAACTCAATTTCGTTTCTTTTTATGGCTGAGTATTCCACTGTATGTACCACCAGTTTCTTGATTTTACTTCCTCCTCACTCCCACCCTTCACCATCACCCCATAAATACACTTTGCCTTTACCATACTCACTTGAGCCAGGTTTATAAATGAACTCTTGAGTTTTAAACATGCCAAACAGAATCACGATCTAGGTAATTTGCTATAAATTTAATTAGGTGTTCACTTTAATCAGTTTATGGCCATATTTGCACCTACAAATCTTCACACATATATTCCAACATGTAATTTATTGCCTCTCTAGAAAACATATCAATCAAGAGTTTATGGTCTTTTCTGTTCTTATACTTTCAATTTGTTATCACTTTTCAATGTATGGTAGAGGGAAATGTGTTTTGTTTGTTTAAGTCTGTTCATCCCAGTTTGTGATATATACTGAAAACATTGCAGTTGCTTGTTGCGATATCAGATGCAATGCAATGTACTTATTTATTCAGTGATCAGTCACTATTAATCCTAACATTTCTAAATCTCCCTTTGTAAATACGTGTGTGTGTGTGTGTGTGTGTGTGTGTGTGTGTGTGTGTGTGTAAGAAGTGGGAAGAGGAACTGTTATTTTAGTCTCAACATGTCAAAGGATGTGTCTTTATCCTTGTTATATACTTGTCAAAATTAAAAGGATGTTATCTTGCCAGGCAGCTCCCAGAATACACTCAAATACATATCTTTGCATAGAAAATATTGTGGTTAAACGTACCATGTGGGGCTTCCCTGGTGGCGCAGTGGTTGAGAGTCCGCCTGCCGATGCAGGGGACACGGGTTCGTGCCCCGGTCCGGGAAAATCCCACATGCCATGGAGCGGCGGGATCCGTGAGCCATGGCCGCTGAGCCTGCGCGTCCGGAGCCTGTGCTCCGCAACGGGAGAGGCCACAGCAGTGAGAAGCCCGCGTACCGCAAAAAAACAAAACAAAACAAAAACGTACCATGGGAATTCCTTATTTCTTTCCCTGGTCATTGTATTTTTTAGGCTATGAGCTTAACTTGTGTTTTGAGAAATCTTATTTCTTTTTTATTAATTTGCTCAGCTTTATTCTTATTACACAGCCCTAAGTTTAAAAACGTTTTGTAGGAAAATGCCTTTTCCTATAGTTATTGAATTTTAATTACAATAGTGTTTAATAGTGCTTCTTTTCTTCCTCCTTTCGTAGTAGTTATTCTACATTATGTACAAATGGTAAGAAATTCTGGTAAGACCAAGACAGCTGAGTTTCAAACAGGACCTGTGTTTAAAGGGAACATCACACATCTGTTAAGTAGCCCTGCTGCGTCAATTTTCACCAGTTTAATCAGCAGCCAGTCCCTGTAATGTTATATGCCTTCTGTGAAGAAAGAGTCTGTTAAAGCTTATTATAATGTGGGTTATAATTCATTCCTATTTATGTCCTTAAATAGGGTTGTACTGAGGCCATGCCCAGCAGTGAGCCATGCACTAAGTGCAGGAAATGATAAAAGTCACTTATAAGATTGGACCTTTCAAAATATGAATAAGGAATTCTTTTGTGTTCCTACTTATTTAGTTGAAAGCATTTGTGCCCATATTGCCTGAATAGGACTTTGTATGTTAGAAGGTGGATTGATACAGGGGTGAAGATGTGCATATTGGGAAAGAATGTGAAAGGCTCTTAATTCCGCAAGAGTTATGGAAGACAATCCTGAAAAAGAATTTCAGTGCTTAGCATAGTGCCTGGCACTATGACATCAATAATTATTTATTGAGTGAATACGTAAATGAATCTATCTATCTGTAAAAGGTTTAGGAATGTCCAAGCATAGACCTGCTAAAAAACCCAGTACCTATTTGAAATTATATTCAATTAAACCTCTTAATTTTCCCTTGGGGCAGTGCTGTAATTTATGAATTCAGAGATCACCCAATCAAAAGACAGCTACAGATAGGCTTGTTCAGAATTCTGATTTACTGACCCTGCTATTGCTGTGCCTCCTTTTCTTTTCTTGATTTTATGGCTCTAAGACAGAAGTGTTTGACCAGAGCTGTAACCAAACACATATCTACTTCCATTCTGCATATCGGTGGGGACAATGCAAGCACGAGGATTATTGCTTAGCAACCTATAATAGCCAAGCACACTAGAGGAGCACTAGCAGGCTGCAGCAAAGATAAGACAATGCCCCAGTTCATGTGTGAGTTTACTAATGAGCCATGCAGATGGCTAGATATTAAGTTGCTATAAATCTGTAGCACTCCCCTTAAAGCAGGAGGAGGAATATCTGCCTTGGGTTATGCTAGAGAGGTTAAAAGCAAAGAGAGTACATTAGAACCTGCAGACTTTAAAAAAAAATTGGTCTCTATCACACTTATTTAAAATAGAAGTAAAAGTATTGGATATTAATGAGCATTGTGACAAAACAGAATGGAAACACTACCCGCCCACCCCCCAAAAAAAGAGGTTAACTTGTTTACAAATCCAACTGAGAGGTAACAAAGAGCATTATACTACCCTCCTCATTTCCCCCATATATGAATAAGCCAAGAGGAAATCAAAACTTGGGAGAGATATTCATAAATACTATCCAATATTGGACTTAAGACATTCTTTAAATGAAATGTTGGCTTTTCAAGTGTTTTAAAAAATAAACCACTTAATATTTTTCCTGGTTAGAAAGATGGACACTATGTAGGTAGAATTTTTTTTAATATCTTTATTAGAGTATAATTGCTTTACAATGCTGTCTCAGTTTCTGCTTTATAACAAAGTGACTCAGTTATACATATGTCCCCATATCTCTTCCCCCTTTCATCTCCCTCCCTCCCACTCTCCCTATCCCACCTCTCTAGGTGGTCACAAAGCACGGAGCTGATCTCCCTGTGCTATGTGGCTACTTCCCACCAGCTATCTGTTTTACATTTGGTAGTGTATATATGTCCATACCACTCTCTCACTTTGTCCCAGCTTAACCTTCCCCGTCCCCGTTTCCTCAAGTGCATTCTCTAGTAGGTCTGCATCTTTATTCCCATCTTGCCCCTAGGTTCTTCTGACCATTTTCTTTTTTTTTTTTTTTTTAGATTCCATATATATGTGTTAGCATATGGTATTTGTTTTTCTCTTTCTGATTTACTTCACTCTGTATGACAGTCTCTAGGTCCATCCACCTCACTACAAATAACTCAGTTTCGTTCCTTTTTATGGCTGAGTAAT